GCCAGTGCGGACTGCAGCCTTGTCACCAACTCCTTGGTTTCCATAACAAATGGGAACTGCGAAGCTACTGGGTCCACATAGCAGCCCTTTCTGGCTGGTACGGATCACGATGGATTGTAGAAACCTGGTCATCGGACTCCCTGCTCAAGCCCCACCACTCACCTTTATACCTGGCCCAGCCCGGAACCGTTTGCGACATCACGCGGCGTGGAAAAACCCGCCTCGCGGACCGCCACAAACTTACAGCGTCGCCGATTTGACGTTTGTTACAGTTTTTTTGGCGCGTAACGGGGAAGAGCGTGAGAACGTTGTCCTGTACATTGCCACCACACTCACGCACGCGCGCGCGCTTTTGCAGGCGGTAGAATTGGAATCCACCTGGCAACCCCGTAAATCGCTGAATGGCTCCAAACTCAACACACAGTTAGAATTTCAGTAAAAAAAATGGCTATTCAAACTCTGTGCAAAAAGAAAGACAGCCTTCCCAGCTGAGTTCATTAAAAAAAAAACACGGACAAAATCGTTTTAAAAAATAACTTAAAATGCAGCAGTTTCTAATCGAGCCCATGCTTCTGATGAAAGTGCACTTGATCATTTTTTTTCGTCGACCAGCTCATTATGCATCACCATGGAGAATTACGAGCAATACCATATAAACAGACCTCCATTCTGTACACATACAAATTAAACGTTTTAGTCCATCGGCCTATTGGCTTCCTATTGGCTTACCTATAATGCACCATCATAACGCATAATGAGTTTGTATCCATAATTGCTCTTGGCGTTGAACATAGCCACGTCGTTTTACACTAAATGCTCTTGTCAATAACACCTGAAACCCAACGCTATCTGTTTAACAAGCCTGACTCTGGTGATCAGCCCCTGAAGGCTGAAACTGGTCCAGAGTTTGCTTGCTTCAACAAATACTGCTGGATAGCGTTTGTCTGGAGAGCCACTAAGCGGACGACTACAACGTATTTTATATTGTACGTGGAGACATAATATAGGGGTCTGAATAAATACGTTACTAACGGTATATTTATAATTGATTCACAGTCATGATTCAGCCGTGGAGGGTTTGGAGAGGGCTCGATGGAGCAGAAGGAATGGGCCTCATTGCTCGATCTCTAAATGATTCTCCACCCCCGTGATTGAATTATCATGGTCCAGGGTCACCATTTGATTCAAGAATCAATTACTTATTTTATGACTGCGGTGAATGTGGGCTGTGGCTTCAAAGACCTGTGTAATTGAAGCATAAGATACCGTTTCACTCAATGAATCGATGTATTTGTTGCATGACTGTGCATTTCCGTGTCGAGTGTAGAGACCCGGGCCTTGGCCAAGTTGCTCTGCGTCATTTCTGGGCTCTTCGTGGGACAATAGAGCTCGCTCCCAGATTGCCATGGAAACGAGGCAAACGGGAAGCTCTCGACACATTGGCTTTGAGAAACCCAGAACCACAACAGATGTCATGTGACCGCCAACATTGCATGTACAGTGCTTTCACCCCTTGCAATGTGGTGGTCATGTAACGGGAATTCAAGATATGATGGGAGTTGTCCCTCCTTGCCGTTTGCGAATACACTGCATGAGATGCACCGGAGTTTTTCACGCCGTATCAAAAAACAAAAATCTATCTATATTGTTATAATCATCACACGTTTGTGTTCATGTTGGATTTGAAGAACCACACAGGGGCAGCAAGGGGCAGCAATCTGAACGAGGACCATTGGGACATCAGCAAAGACTGTTTGGCTTTCTGCGAACAAAAAGTGTCGTACATAGAAAGCCCCATTCTGCTGGGGAAAGCGAGAGTTACATTAAACATGACTGAGTAAAGTTGCTCTATGTAACTAAAGGATCTCCTGGGACCAGGATAGTGGCTGTTGAGACAGCCAGGCCTGAGATCAAGACATGTGGCACTATACAGACCAACACAGCTGACACGCTGTATCAGGGATTGACCCAGATATTTGCGGCTTGGCAGTGAGGTTGGGGGTGAGGAACGGGTGGCGGTCTACGAAGATGGATTTCCCCCCACCCCTCGTTCTTTCTGGCACAATGCCTATCTGCGTTCTCCCCGTGGCACTGCATTTTAAAAAGAAATTTAAATAAACATGAGGAAAACAATCATGCGTGTTTATTTGTTTTGTTGAAACAGTGTAGTCTGGCACACTTCAGGAATATATAATATGCAAATTAAAATTAGATGCATTCGAGATATGCGGAAGCAATAGAAAGTTTCATTTGAAACTCCGTTTTCAGCTCTCTATATATTAACAGGACCTGTCAATAGTCAGCAGCGCACTGTGCTTAGCAAAAGGAGCGCTCTGTTATGTATCAGGCTAGTCAGAGGAAGAATAACCCACTTCTGGATTGTGCCATCATTCCTGGAGGCTTCAAAATGCTGCTTGTGGACAATACACAAAGCCCATCAGGTTAAAGGAGCAATATCCAGGGTGTAGCATATCTGGAACCATTGAAGCAAACTACACAAAGGCACAGATTAAAAAAAAGTTCTATGTGAAGCAAAACGAGAAAAATATGCTTCCTGCTGTCAAAAGATGCCCCCCTCCTCGTGCGAACACATTTGAAGTTCGGCAGTCAAAGTCAAACAAGCCCCTCCTTATTTCTGAGCCTCGATCCAAAGGGCTGCACGCGGGGCTGGGCCTCTCTACCTCTCTCTCTCTCTATCTCGTTATTGCCGGGCCAACACAGACCTTCTCCTGATGCCCTCGGCTCAGTGGGCGGTCACTCCCCCTCCTTTCTGATGAGCATGAAACGAATGCTGTAGCCCCTTCTTTAGACCGACCCAAGAGAGGAAATGCCACTCCTGCCGAAAATCAATCCTTGAGAGAGTTTCGTCTCAGTCGGGGATTCTCAGTCTTTCAAGCTTTGATTCGTAGGCGTAAATTGTACCCTTCAAAACCCCCTTATTACCTCAGACATTGGCAGTCGTGCAAACCACTTTGGTCGCGGAAAATAAAATCACTGTGAATGCGCCAGAGCTCATCGGATCTCGAAAGCTAGGCAGGATATTGGGCCTGATGAGGACTTGTGTGTGGGTGACTGCCCGGGGAATACCACGTTTCGTACGTACCCTTGGGCGGATAGGTCATCGGGAGTGGGCGATGCAGCAATGGATTCTTAAATCTATCTGTGCAGGGCATTGAGTGTTACCTCCTAATATGTGGGATGTTTCTCCGGGTTCTCCGGTTTCCTCCCACAAGCCAATTACTCACAAATGGAACTGCCCAAGCATCCAAATTCAGTGTCCACCTAAGACTCAGTGAAACTTTCCGGGATAAATAAATAGTGTTTGATATACATGCTCGCCCATATAACTAATCTCTTTTTTTTAGCTCAATTTCCAACTAACGGCAACAGGAGATATCTGAATTGGTTCTGGTCACCTCTTCTCCTCCTTCCTTCGCCAGCCCACACTGACTGACCAGCTTGGTGAAGCACGGTCAAAAACTTAAATGACCAACACGGCACCTCCGATTCGCACGGTTGGCTACGCGCGATGCGAAATAAGTTGAACGTACATACTTTGCAGCAGATTTTCAAAGGGCTGTGGATTTCTGTTGTTGCTGTCGTTATTCGGATTACATAGCAACGTGTTTTGACCATCGTTTGCACAAAATCCCTCTGCTCTACACATCCCGTTAACGTGAAGAGAACATCTGTTACATTACCCGGTCGCACGGTCACCCACCTCCCCTTGACCAAGCCGCTCCACTCTCTGTCGCATGGCATCCTCGAGATGCAATTGCACTTTGATTCTTTATAAATCCACGGTGTATTGAGTGGCGCCCTGCTACAGTCTGCGGATCAGATCGTTGTGCTGTCTGGCCTCGCAAACCAATTAAACTCATCCGCTGTCGAGAGCCAAATTAGAATTTCGTCTGCTCGAAGGCATCGCTGGCCATGTGAAATACCAGCTTGGGCAAGCCTCTCCCCATTGATAACTCAATAATAAATCATTCATATGGAAATTATGTTGTGTGTTTTGCATTAAATAAAGGGACCGAGCTTGCCGTTTAGCTACTTAAGCGTAAAGGATCAATTGGCATTTATATGTTTGCTTGTACAAGGTAATGAATAAAAATCACGTAGAGGCGGGGGGGATTCATTAACGGAGTGATGAGATGATAATCATTTGACTGCTTAATCCAGAAAAACCTCACGGAGCCTTCCAGGGTTTTTTTTTCAAGTGGGCCCCGTTTTCAGATTTCTAAACGATATGTTTTTTTGCATGTGGAACAAAACTAACGAGGTCAGAGAAAACCGCGGGCATACGCTAGCAGAATAGGTATAAGTCATAAGGCTATTTAATGCAACTGGACGAATAAACGATACTGTGTTTTACCACGTAAATATTTAATCAAACAACATTTAACTGCATTGAACAATGAACCTTGCGTACAAAAGTTTTCCAGCAGCATTTGTTTAAGGAGGGGCGATGAAATCGCCTTGTATGCAGGAGCGAGGTAGATAGTTGCATCATGGCTTATTATGATGATGGGAGGAAGAAACCGGAGTAGCTAAAGCAAACCCTCACCACACGAAGAGGATAACACTAATTGCTTTTATTTTTTATTCTTGGTTCTTTCAGTAAGTCACGTAGAAGGGAAACAATAAAATGATAAAAATATAAAACATGTCTATGTCTACCTACGTGACTTTACCGAAAGAACCAAAGAGTTATAATTGCTCTGTTTAACACGTAGGCCAGTAATTACAACTAGCTTCATCAGGCGACAGCCAGATTGTAATGTTGTGGCTTGGCTCTCCAATACACCGGTGTGCTGTACTAGTGACGAATTGGCATGTTCTGTTTACGTGACTACCCTTACTAGTTGGCTGTGTTCGGTGGTGGCGGGTTTTAACGACACATTTTTTTTATTTATGCGATCTAACCCAAAAAAAACTCTATTATGGATTAATTGCTCTGCACATACAGATTCAAGTATGCACTTAACACGCCACGTTACCAGGCCAGCGCAGGTGCTGATGGCGGCGTGGCCCAGATCCTTGCCTCCCTCCAGCACCCGGCCTAGGAAGTGGCACGTGTTCCCCTTGCGGGGCCGCTCCAGGCTGACCCTCGCAGACCGGTTCGTCATGACGCCAGCCGGGCCCCCCGTGCGCCCGTCCATTCGGCGCTCCAGCAGGAACCCGGGCGCAAGCAGGCCTCGGTTGAGCTCCATACGCAGGTGGAGGTGCTGCCCGCCCACGCTCAGGTTGTAGAAGACCGACAGAGGCTCCGGGGGTTTCGGCAGGCTCGGCGGGTTTGGGGGGTCCGTGCCGGCTGGCTGATCGCCGGAGTGAGCGTGCCGGCGCTTCGGGCTACGGTTGTGGGGTGGCCGGGCATGGTGGCTCACACGGTGGGACAGGAAGCAGCCCGAGGCGGCAACGCGGACAGGGTGGACAATCTCGTAGTCGTCCAGCGCCGCTGAAGGAGAAATGAGAGCGGGCGAAGGGGAAATGTTGCGCTGGGATTAGCGATGTCAACAACAGGCAAAGAACAAAGACGATCGCCGCATCGCGCACTTTCAGATACCCGTCTACGGCCGTCTGGAACACTCTTCCTTCCGATATTAGGAAGCCACTGGAGCTATGCACTTTTAAATAATCTAGGTTGAAAACTAATTTCTTGAGAACTGTTTTTTTGTGTTTCGATTGTTGACCTTGCCCCGTTCCTCCGATTAGCGAGGTTGGCTATGTACGGTGTGAAAGAAGTTCAACATACATATCATGATGCAACACAGCACCAGTACTGGCCAATGCCTATTAATAATTCTGGCAACCATAAAGGATACTTGCAATGTTGTTTAATTATTTTAATTTTGGTTGATAAAATGCTTTTATGTTATTTGAAGTATGCAGGGGCTATTTCACAGATTTTTTAAAAGTATTTTTTATACTTTTTCATGATTTATTGTTAAGGTTACGTGAGTTGGCTCTACGTTTATTTACGTTTCCATGCTTTTTGTAGTTGTTGTCTCAAATAGCTGGTTCTCAATAACAGGAAACCTCATGACATTCCCACTCTGGGCATTTTTCTATATTTAAAACCCCATTTTAAAGTCTCAACAACATTCCCCGTTGACACAATTCCAGCAGTCCCCTAATTTAACGTTTTCCCACATCTAACAATTTGACTTGTCGCTTGCAAAACTTGACAGATATTTCACTCTATGTCCATGACTGACCAGTAAGTAATACAATACATCACAGCAGAGAACCACTAAACACATATAGCAATGCCAATACAGTATACGTAAATATGTACTACCTGGTGATTTGGCATTCCAAGTTATACACCTTGTAAACTTCTACCCTCAGAGCCAGGTTAGTCTAACTTATGTCCAAAAAAAAAGAAATTCGTGTGCTTTCTTTGCAGTGGCAGCACTGAGACTATCAATAACCACGCACTTGAGAGCCAGGCTAATCACACAGGTGGCTGCCCGGATTAGATATCCAGCATCTCAGTGGCCTGTGATGCTCGGTGCTATCGGAGTGCCATGACAAACCAATTACTAACTCCCCACAGCCGCCTCGTGAGAAGTCGCTCCAACATCATCCGCCGCACAAGTAAAAACTAACAGAAAGGCAAGGGAACTGCTATAACAGTACAAGAAAAGCACGCATATATATTTTATTTTACCAGGTAAGGCCCCACTGAGCTACATGGCTCTTTTTTCAGAAGCGACCTGGCCACAATTGATAGCCCAACGAAGTGGCTCATCACGTGGACATTAACAGCAGTAGCCACACACTCTAAACGCGCGTTGACTCTAAGTGCGGAGGGAAAAACCGGCGGGCCCCGGAGAAAAAAAAATCCACACATACGACAGGCGGTCAGCTCGCACGCAACGCACGAACGCGTGCCCCTCAATCCAGAACGCACACGGAGTTTCCACGGGGGTCAAAGGGGGGTCGGGCACACCTGCTCCTGGGCTCGAAGTCGCGTCGGCCGAGTCCCAGGGGCGGCTGTCGGGGAGGTCACCTGCAGCGAGCGCCCCAACACCCAGGGCGGCCAGAAGGGTCACGGCCAGCGGCACGAGGGTCGCGTGTGTTCGGGGGCCCGCGGGCCGCATGCCTGCGGGTGCGCGCGACCCTCGGGTGTCCTTTCACGTGTTGGTTCTCCTTTTGATCGTCCGCCCGCTCGGTTGGTCGGCCCGGAACCACAACAGCTGCCGCCGGTCGGTCTCTCGGTGCAACGGGGGAAAGTGTGTGTGTGTGGGGGGCGGTGGCAGATGAGCAGTAGTGTGGGGTTTCGGGTGGCTGGGTATGCGGAGCGGGGTGGTGGGTGGCGTGAGCCGTCTTTGTTTTCAAAAGTTCAACAACGACCGCCGCCGCCGCTGCTGCTGCTGCTGCTTCTTCTCCGCCTTCCCGACGGCTCTGATGAAGCTCCTGTTTGAGACGGTCTGCACACACAGAGGCTTGAAGGGCGCACCCCCAAACCGAACTCCCAGATTAATTAAGTGAGCTCCGTGAATCAGGTCTCTTGCCAGACCACAATTTTCATGCAGCGAACTTGAAATAACCCAGACGAGCCAGACTTGCTTGGAGGTGGTGGTGGTGGGGTGGTGAATGTCGGGGGTGGTGGCGGGGAGGGGAAGGGTTGCACGGTCGCTGTCGCTCTCTCTCTCTCTGCGAGACGGAGACTCTGAAAAGCAGTTATGCACGTCGCCCCGAGACCCACAGAGTAAAAGTTTAATAAGTGCGGCTGTCTGAAGGGCGTCAGTCAGTCGGGACTCGGGGGTGGGGGAGAAGACCAAGGGGTGTGTGCCGAGAGTCGAGCTGCGGCTGGACAAATCAAGAGAGCGAACGCTGTTTGTGAGTGGGTTGAGCTTGCGTGGCCGTTTGTGTGGGGGAGGTAGGGCAGAGGGGTTTGCATGCCCTTTATGTTTTTGGGAGGCTCGGAGCCTCAATGTGCCGCTTTGTGAAACGGAGCAATCCGCAGCTGGTGTGTGTTTGTTTGGAAGGGAAGAACAGGGCTGGGCTTGGGGAAGGGCTTTGGCTGTACGTGTGTGTGTGTGCAGTCTGCGGTTCGAGTTGGCCCAACTTAACAAGGCAGACGTCATGTAATACCGACGGATGGGAGGTGGGGGTAGAGAAAAAAAACAGCGGCAGAATCCGATCTGAATATTTTCATTCCCTCTGGAGTGTTTTTTTCGAGCACAAGTGTTATTTTTTTTTTCGTTTCTCGTGAGCTGCTTTGCAGCAAAGCTCCGTGGTTGTTACAACAACAAGCGTCTTCCATGAGTGCAATTCCTTTGCGCGCACACGATCTAATTTTTTGTTTACTTTTTACTAATAAACAAAACATTTCCACGGCTTTGGGGAGGTTTTCGTGCAGCAGTGGATTGACCATGGCTGATGATGATGACGACAATAATGAATATATACAGATGTATTGGTATACAGTTTTCTTAACTGAACATATGTATGTATGTATGTTGAACTTCTTTCTCACCGTACGTAGCCAATCGTGCTAATGGGAGGTGCGGGGGAACGAAAACAAACTAAACACAAAAAGCAGTTCTAAAGAAATAAGTTTTCAATCTAACATGTCTGTTGGAGGAACACAACTGGAAACAAACGGGAGTATGCATGTATGTATACTTGGCGCAGTTCCTTAAGGCAACTTTGAATGAAATTTATGATGTACAGAGGACAGGAGGAGGTTGGAGTGTTTTTGTAAAACTGCAGTTAATGAAACGCAACACCCCAACGTGCCTAAAGAACGTGTTCATTCGATGCGTACTACCTGGTGTGACGTGGATTAGAAACATGGACATTCACAGACAATTTGGAACACAAGCTGAAAAAATGTGAAATGCGCGTGCAGAGATGCATACTTGGGGTTACATTGAGAGACAGAGGAACACATGGACCCGGAGAACGTACACCAGTTACATATATCATATTGACTGCTTAAAAATAGAACCAGTTGCTAAAACAAACAATAGCCAGTGTTTGCGACTAACAATGGAGTTTTCTATTTATTTAAATATTTAAACTGGAAAATCACACGAAGTGGAAAATCATTTGCAAGGGCATCCAGGGTACCAGCAGTCAAAGGAGGAGGGTACAGCTCCTTAGAGAATGCGCACCAGAGAGACGGAGTGATGAGATCGGCTCATGTGCAGGAGATAAATGGATTGTTGCATCGCAACACCATGAGTGATGGCGACAGCTTTCTTCCAGCCATGGATAAATCATGCCTGATGATAATGATGATTATTATTTAAATAACATTATCTTAGACATTGAGGGAACTGAATATTAGCAAAAATAAACGATTGCTTACAGCTCTTTTGTCAATGCACTGCTGGATAAAGGTCCTTCCATGCCCCTGTCAGTAATAGATTATTGCGGGTTCGATGGAAGGCAAGTCTATGGCCAATTAAGATTTCCCTTGCAACGAATGTTAGCCATGGCTGATAACAAGTGTGCCATGGTGGCGAGACGATTACTACCTTGCCTGGTATACATCAGGTCGTGGGTTCGATTCCAACCCTGACACTTGAATATTTGGAGTTTGCATGCTCTCCCCGTGGTTGCGTGGATTTTTCTCCGAGTCCTCCGGTTTTTCCCCTCTACGTTTAGAATCAACATCACGCGTTTAGAGCATTTGGCTGCGAAACATTTCTATGTGATAAGCCACTTCGTTTGAGCTATCAATTGTGGCTCGGTTGCTTCTGAAAAAGAGATACATAGCTCAGCGGGCCCTACCTGGTAAAATAAAAAGTTTTTATAGTTTCAGTTTATAAACTTGTGTCGCTATGTTGTCGGCACGATGTGCTTATCACTGCACCACCCCTCTCCTTCATATGAAAATTGTATTAATCTCGAAGTGAGCTTCCAGATACACGCCTCCATAAATCAACTTACGACTGCCATTGCTTGACAAATTAAATGGTCCCGAGAAAATGTTGCACTTTTAAGAGAAAAACGATTTCTTATATCGATGGATCAGGAAATTGCTCACCAAGATAGTTGACCTAAATCCTGAATTAAATTGATTCATCAATGCCGCCAGATGTGGCAGTTGCACACGTAAAACACTGACAACGTACCAGCGTTAATTGGGGTTTTGCCCGGGTATTGAGTCTCTGCGTTGACAGCTCCGATTAAGTGGCAGGAACAGAATAGGGCCCGTGGACACCGCGGACTTTAACCTCGCTGAAGCCGTGGAGGTTTCTCTGGCGAGCGGTGTCACAAATAACCCCCGCGAACGACTCCCATTCAGTTTTTGTTTTTGAATTCCGACACAAGGGATAAGTTTGTGCCCCGTTGCTGCCTGTAGTACTGCATTTACACAAACCTTCGCTTGGAATTCCGTGAGTTGCGGGCTGGCCTTTGGAGAGGAATTCCGCTCCTATTAGGGTACTGACATTCCTGGCTGACTCTCGGGACGGTCGAGTGCAAAACAATATATTCTGCATAGATGTAGACTATAGCCAATGACTATGGCTACGATTCGATTTTGGAATGTTGATATTTAGTGGAATTCACAGCCGAGGTACGGGATACAAGCAACCTTTCACGGGGGGGGGGTCATCCCCCCGCCCCCCCTCCCCCCATTCCACCCCCCACCCTTCCCCACAACGTACAGAATTTATTTAAAGGAAATAAAATAAGTTTGGAATCCATGTGTGTCTACAGTAATATCCAAGATTGTACGGGCCTTAGTTAAATGCACAATTTCCGTAACCGCCGTGCCAAGATTGAAGTCTTTCCGATGACCACTCATTCAAAAGTCAGTATCCTAATGCTTAAAAACAACGTTTGGGTAGTGAGGTCCTGAATTGAGCAAGCAGTATTAAATTCCACATTTCCACGGTTCCATTCATTTATTTCGCATCCATCATACCGACTTAGATCAATGATGGCCATTTGTGGCCGCACAGGTCTGAGCGCGGATAATAATGGAGCCAAAATCATCAGCTCTGCACCGGTCCCCTTGCAGCTGACACTCGAGCAGATGAGTGAGGCATCATCTACTCTTGACCGCAGACGTTCGTGTTCTGGTCACGATCGACATAGTTGCACTTCCTACGGGTTGCTATGCCCCAACCAACGTATGTCCCTCTGTCCCTGATGGAAGTATTCACCACTCACAAGTCTACGCTACTTGCAGTTTCATATCAGAAGCTGCCGATGTGTTGCCTGCCCGCAGTGGCGCGTTCCACAGTTGGAGCCGCGTGCTCTCCGGAGATGAGCTGAGAGGTTCCGCGGTGATTGGTAAAAACCCTTCCACGATTTGTGTCGACTGACAGCAGGAAGTGTATATGCTGGTATAGTGACTGCAGTGCCGTGACCGTTCTGCATGGCTGGTGACCGTTCTTATGATGTTTGAGGATGCCGATAGCAGCCAAGGGGTTAAGGCTGTCTGCATCGGTCGGCTTGAGGCAGCCGGTAATGCTCCTGCAGCCTTCGTTTAACACCGGGTCGATTTTCTTTGCATGTACGGACCTCTCCCGTGCAGTGCACGCGTACCCTGCTGCTTAGTAGCAGGGAGCCAGCGCAGGTGACCTGAGTGCAAGATGCATTTGCTCTCCGCTTAGTGTTGACCAATTTTCGGAAGATGTTACATCGCGAGCTCACCTTCGCCCTGGCTATTTCGACGTGCGCCTCGCGTATCAGAAACCGGTTGAGTGTTACGCCCAGCCAGACAGGATTTGAGCGACGAGTCTATTTTGCGCCGTTCCATGTGACCTATGTATTGTGTGTTTGTCGAACTTCTTTCGCACCGCACGTAGCCAACCGTGCTAATCGGAGGTGCGGGACGTTGACATCTCACTTAGCATCCCTGTTCCTTAATTGCAAGGTGGGTACTTGGGTCTAAATTAGGTTGGCTCGTAGTTGATTTCTGTTGGCTGAGAACAGTCAATCCCTTGGATTAACAGAGGTAATTGACTTCCCTCCAAGTGGGGCAGCCTCTTAAGACGGTGGTGTCCATTTTACTGGTCTTGTAGGAATAATAATTATTGTTATGATAGATTCGTATTGCGTCGTTCACGATAATTGCATCTCACAATCGCTGGGGAGCCACAAACAAGCAAGAAAGTAGTAGTCAGGTGGTGCGAGCCAGTGCCACAATTTTCCCAAGTTCTGTGGTCCTATACGTAACGATGTTTTAAGTACATTTTGTGAGTGTTAATACATGATAGATCAAGCTGCGCCTGGATGGAACATGAACTCACGGACTCATGATTTGGGAGCCCTACTTACTCAGAAACGGAGCTGAATTCCAGGCGAGGTATATATCGGTTACTATGGACAGCAATTTATTATAATTGAATCCATCTGTATGGAGCTTTGAGAGCTATCCACTCTGGTGTGTGTGTGGGATTACTCGTGCGTCCTTCCACACACACACACAATACCCAATAATAAATACTTTTCCCAACGCTAAAATGCAGTAACTTCTTGCAAATAAACTTCTTGAAAATAAATGTAGGTCCTCTGTGAGATCCACTTACACATAAAACAACAGGTAAAATAAGAATAATGGGGGTTAACACTTTAACTGAGAGGAGAAGGAGATCTCAGTCACAGTAAAACAAACCTGTTTTTATAATACTCTTTGCTTCTTTCGGTAAAGTCACGTAGGTAGAAGAACAATAATAATAGATCACGACGTTTCGATCGCCACACAAGCAACCACCTGCAGACGGTTGCTTGTGTGGTGATCGAAACGTCGTGATCAATTATTATTTTTCTACCTACGTGACTTTACCGAAAGAACCAAAGAGTATAGATTCCTGCAGTCACGAAAGTTTCAAATCAAGACTGTGTGTTTTTTATATTAATTAACCTATTATTATACGTACTGCTATGCATATTATGCACCAGCCCAACAGATAGTGCACAATACAATATGTGAGAATCATAAGACACGCTGAATATGGAAATTGGTCTAATAATTATATTTGCTCATCCAAAGTATGGGTTAACTGCATAGGGTACTGATTAAAATAAAACGAATGCGCGTCTATGAGTATATATATTATTCTGATGCACCCACTGTTTCTTGTTTTCATTATGTCTCTCAAAGGGTATTCTTAACCCGTGCCCTGTTGCACTAAGGTGGTATTTAAAAGCCAAAGACAGTATGAAATCTCCGGCACTTTACGAGCGTATTATGAGCCCGCTGGAAATTGCTCTCCATACATCACTGTCAGTGTTGTCGTGAACATTGCATTAATATGCGCAAT